AAATCTTAGGGGGACAAGTGGAGGGGTTTAGAGAGGTTGCTTGTTTCTTTTTCATAAAACATAGTTAGGTATGCCCCTTACCATTGCCCTCTAAAAACCATAATGTTCTTTACTGAGCACATAGCTTCTCAATTCAGAAAGTTTCCAATATATGTAGCAAACTTGTCATAGAGTTTTTGAGAATGCAGACATTACTATGTTTACAGTACGGTATTTTTTTTTAATGAGTCATTCTAATTTCTATCAAAATTCAGGCCACAGTTAAAAAAAAAGATCTGTATCCTTGGATCAATGATATTAAAATAGTATAAACCAAAGTTAAAAAACAACAACAAAATAAAATAATCCTCTTAACTTTCTGCACATGAGATCCTTTCTAAATAATTTTTTTTAAAATTGAAATTTGAGCCAGGTATGGTGGTGCACACCTGTAATCCCAGCAACTAGGAAGACTGAGGCAGGAGAATCACAAGTTCAAAGTCAGCCTGAGACCCTGGCCCAAAATAAAAAAATAAAAAGGGCTGGGGATGTGGATCAGTGGTTAAGCACACCTGGGTTCAATATCTAGTACCACTTMCCCCTGCCCCCCTGGCAAAAAAATAAAAATAAAATTCTTTTGATATTTTCCAGAACTTGATGCTATTAATCATATACTGCTTTTTTGCTGCCTTACTTGATTTGAAAAAAAATTATACTTCTCAAGTCTTGGGCAAATTTTGCCCTTTATAAATTATCTACCATTTATTCTAAAGTCATTCTTTCAGGGTACAATCAAAAGGAGACTAATGTTAGAGCTGGTCAAATTAATGTCACAAACATTTTAGAAACTGTCATCATACACAAAAATAAATAGATTAAATTTTTCTTTAGAAATTTATACCAAGTATTCACAAAAAGCTCTAATGAAACAAAGAAGAAAACAAAAGAAGAAGCAAAAAGTTTTATATTTGAAGTCAAAGAGGTCTGCAGAGAAAATGAAAAATGGGGCTGCACACAAGTGGTTTCAACAGAGACTGCTTTTCCCCCTAGCATACAGTAAGCACCTGCAAGAGGGGATAATATTAAAAGGTCTCACTTTGTAGTGTTCATGACTTCACAAACTATATGTAAAAACCGAATACTTTATTTTCCAAGACAATTTAGGTTATTAAAGATAAAAAGCTAATATTACTTACAAATGTGCGTGTAGTAATGTGTTAGTTAATAAAACAAACTCAGACCAGGTAATTGTACCTCTCCCCTTACAGTTCTGGGTATAAGAACTGCAGCCATCTATTACCTGAAACATGACAATAGACAGATTTTTAAAGGGCTAAGTCAAAGTCTGGAAGCTTTGTTCTAATAAATGCATAACTGCTGTTTAACAATGAATTTTCTTTGTTTTTAAATGCCTTTTTGAAAAGGACACACATGAGTCTTATAGTTAATCTTCAAGAGCACTATTTCAAGCCAAAGGTCTTCAGATTTTCCTGATTGTCGTGTGTCAAGAAAATAAACAAAAAGGAGGACAAGACACAGTAAAGGGAGAAAAGACAAATGGAAAACATACACATCTCGGCAACAGCTTTGTATTCAGATTTTTCAAAGCTTGCCCTACAACATCTTGGTCAGCCCAGGAAAGCCCTGTAAAAGGGAAGACCCCGGTCGCTTCAGATGCAGGGGGACTGGAGGCGAGGAGTCGGGGTTCCTGGTGGCCCAACCCGCCGAGCGGACCCTTCCTTTCTCTGCCTCCCCTCCCCGCACCCGAGCTCGCGCTCGCTCTCCCGCGGTGTCCCAGGCTTCGATGCCCCGGAGCTTGGGACACTAGCGCCAGGCGCCGCGTCCCTGGAGACGACCCTTTTCCTGCAGCCCAGCCGAAAGGAAAGGGGTCGGAGCTGGCGAAAACCGCCATAACCGCCAAGCACTCCTCGCTCCGGCGAGGCCAGCACCGCTGGGCGGCGGCGGCGGTCTGGGGGGCTCCCCGCCGGCCCCCACCCAGCTCTTCACACCCACCTGCCTCCCCCGGCGGCCCCCGCGCCGGGTCCCGCGGTCCCGCCGCCGCCAGCTCCGGCTCCCGGCCGCAGCGCCATCTTGCTCCGGGGCCGCCGCCGTGCCAGCAGCTGTCAGCTGAAGACAGCCACTTCCGGGGCAAGCGCCAGGCCCCACCTCGCCGCGGCCGGGCGACGAGGCGGGGCCGCGTGACACCCCCTTCCCCCGCCCGCCCTCGGGGAGGTGCGGCAGCCCTCGTCACTTGGCCTGGAGCCGCCGGGAGGCCTTCAGGTGCAAAGCTGGCTCTGGGCTGGCCGGGCTCCCCTCCGAGGGAGCTGATTCATCCTCCGGGAGGCCCGCAGCTAGGGCCCAGCTTGACTCGGTCTTTCGCGTTCGCAAACCTGCAATTCCATTAGTGGAAAGCAGGTCGAATCGTAATTCTGAAACTGGATGATAGGTACACGGATTTCATTGTTACTTTGCACATAAAGAATAGATGAAGGAGGGCACGCATGAGGTACCGGGTTCGATCCTCAGCACCACATAAAGTAAAATAAAGATATTGTGTCCACCAATATTGTGTCATATATATATGAAGAATGTATGGAGGGCTGGGGTTGCGGCTCAGAGGTAGAGCGCTCGCCTAGCATGCCTCAGCACCACATTAAGTGAAAGAGTGGATGGATCCCGGCTGGCCCTTTGATAGCTTCACAGTGCTTGAACACTGATGAGCTCTCTCCCCCTGATACTCAGCATGCTGTTTCCTTTCAGCATTCGAGACACCTAATGTATTTAAAATTTACTTTAGTAAAAAACCAAAAGCACAAATAAAAAAACAAAACCAATCCACATAAAAAACCTCCAAGGTGCACAAGTCTTGTATTTGAGCCTACCATGGTGCCACTTAGTAGTGCCATCCTGACCTCTACCCCATTCTTGCAGGCAGAGGCAGCAGTGGTGTTTGGAAAGCAGTTAATTGCTCTAAATATATTTGGGCATGTTTTTCCTGTCATTTCCCCCTCCCTAAACAAACTACTAATCTGTAAAGTTTTTAAGCCCTTGAGTAATAGATTAGAATAAACCTATTCACTCTTGCTTTAGGACTGAGAAATAATTTGTAATACGTTTTCAGTTATTGGGCACAAACCACTAGTCAGGAACTTTAGGTGCATTTACAAGTCCGGTGTACCTGTGGAAAAAAATTACTTTAAAAAGTTAACATACCCTGATCATACAGCTATAGCAGTATGACCAGAATTCAAACCCAGGTCAGTTTGATTCCAGTCCTTGCTGCTTTTAACTAGGGGCAGCTATTCAATTTTTATGTATTGTCTTTTCACTAAATTTCACTCCTCCCCTTCCTTGGACAATGGTGAAATTTATGTAGCCGATAGCTCCAACTGATATAAAGGAGTTAAAATCCAGTATTAACCTATCAACAAACCAATTTGATACAGATTTCTAAAGACACTTTGTGGACTGGATGTTTGCAAAGGAGGGTATACTTGAGAAAATAAAGTAGTATAGATTGAGGATTGCAGATGTGATCTCTGTGTCTGGTATACTTTGTTCCTCTTCACTGCCTATTAATTTCTTTATCTGCAGGACTCAACTCAGATGCCAGCCTTCCAAGGCATTCCCAATCTGGGTTAGATGACCCCTGATTATGCTTCAGCATCTTGGTCTTACATCTAACAAAGCATTTGCCACACTATTTGTTCTTTCACTTATCTCCTTCAGTAATTTTAAGAGCAGGGATTGTGCTATGTAGCCAATCTTAATGTTTGTTGAAGGTATATTTGTTATGAGTTTAACTGTATGTCTTGAGACATAGTTTTCATAAATGAAAAAAATTAAAGCTTTAAGAAAAAACATTCAAAGTCATACAGTTCACAAATGGCTTTGGACCAACATACCTACCTTCAGAATATAGAATCAGGACCTGTTTGCAAGAACAAACAAACATAAAATAATATGCTTATCAGTATTTTTTGCATCCTGTGGCAATAGGTCCCATTTAAATAAATTCCAATGAATAATTCTACCCCATGTAAAACATTCAAGACAGCGTTAATCTGTGTTGACTCTAGAATAAAAGGCTGAATGAATAAATTTAAAAGTTGCTAATAACTTTTTATATCCAAGTCATTCTAAGATGTCACTCTACTTGTGTTTTTTTTAATTCCACTGTACAAAAAAATTAGTTATTGAAAAATATCTGCTCATAGCAAATAGCCTCATTCACTATGTGATCATGATCCTTTATCTCTGACAGAGACTTGCTTACTCAATATATGAAGGGCCATCAGGCCTCAGGAAAGATAAGCTGTAGGAGAATGAAACCAGAGTATATCAAGTAACAACATTCTTCCTTATTGGGATAAACTTAATGGGTTCAAGCAAACCGATATTAAATGGAAAAGAGCATGGTTAAATGATGGAGAATGAAGTAAAGGGAGAGGCTGATCATAATCTTGCCATTGCAACATTACAACAGCTAAATACAAGCTACCTTACTAGAGGTGTAAGAATACTAAGGGTAAACTGAGCACAATTTCAAATCCTAAGAAACTTGAATAACCAGCCACAGAATAAACATCTCTTTAGTGTGACCCACATCACAAAAGATCATCAAGAAACTGAGAAATATTGGGGCTGGGGTTGTAGCTCAGTGGTAGAGCACTTGTCTACAATGTGTGAGGCACTGGGTTTGATCCTCAGCACCATATAAATATAAGCAAATAAAATAAAAGTATTGTTCCATCTACAACTAAAAGCATTTTTTAAAAAATTAATATTAATAGAACAATAGTTTTCTTTTTGGTAGATAATCTGTGCTGCCTCCCATCCACCCCCCCCCCCAAAAAAAAAAGCATGTGGAAGGGGCATTCAATCTCAAGGCTTTATTTTAAAATTTAATTCCAGGGGCTGGGGATGTGGCTCAAGCAGTAGCGCGCTCGCCTGGCATGCGTGCGGCCGGGGTTCGATCCTCAGCACCACATACCAACAGAACACATCCACATCCGCCGAGAACTAAAAAAATAAATATTAAAAAAATTCTCTTTAAAAAAAAAAAATAAAATAAAATTTAATTCCAGATGCCTCTTTATAGCATACATCACACTTTCCTTCAAACTTGATGGGAAAAATCCATAAGAGTTCACCACATTTGGATGTTATTTTTTAGCATAAACTTTTATTCTTCTATAAGAAGTATCTCTCTGGATTCAAACCACAAAAATAACAATGAATATTACATTCATTGTGTGATTTTAACCTACAAATTAAAATTTGGCATGCTGCATTGATAGTTTCTGATCATTTTTCAGTCACATGTAGTTGTAGTTGATTTCAAATGTTTGGTAGAGGTGATATTAAAACTTGAAGTATTCCAAGAAAACATCATTCATGCTGGTATCATATAATTATATTTCTGGGTTACAAAGTCTCTTTTTAACTTTTATCTTCAAGAGCTACCTTCTTTTTTGCTGTTCTGACTGGTGACCTTTTTCCTATGAAAAGGAAAGAGAAATTCAATCAGAAATTCTATATATATTGACTTTCCATAACTCTGAGGGTTTAATAAACACTGAAACTTGCTGAATATCAAAATATAAGAGGCACAGGAACACAAAGATGCATTAAACATGGTCTCTGCCCTACAGAAAATCATTATCACATAGAGGAGACAGAAACATCACAACAAACTACACTAGTACAGTCTTTGATCACTTTCATACTTATAACAAAGACAGATTCTAATACTAACTTAATAATACAAGTTCACATTGATTCACTGCTTATTAAATACTAGACACTGTTACAAAGTATTTTACATGCATTAACCCAGGTAATCTTACTAACAACTTAGAGGATTCTATTATCCTCATTTTATAGATACAGAAAATGAGACAGAGTGGTAAAGTAACTTTCCAATTATCTTACACTAGTAATAAATGTCATATATGAACTCCAACAATCTGATACTATGGCCTAGTAACTGATGAATGTCATTAACTGAATGGTAACACAGCAAAAGGAAAAATTTTTGAAAAAATGTTTGCATACTATATTRTAGTAATACAAAGTTCTATAGTATATATTAACTTATCCGGTCTTCCAAGGCTGAGCAACACAGTTTGTATTATTTTTATTATTGGTACTAGGGATTGAACCCAGGGGCACTTAACCACAGAGCCACAACCCTAGCCAATTATTGTATTTTATTTAGAGACAGGATCTCACCGAGTTGCTTAGGGCCTTACTAAGTAGCTGAGGCTGACTTTGAACTCACGATCCTCCTGCCTCTGCCTTCCTAAGGCATTCGGATCACAGGTATGCCACTGCTCCTGGCCAGCTAATGTATTATTTATATAATTATTTCCACTATATATAGGAGTAAAAAGATTTGGGTGAAGTGACTTGCACAAAGTCACAAAGGAAAGTAGGTATTAGAATTAGTTTTCTGGCTCCAAATTCAGTTTTTCCCTCTATTACATCAGATGGAGGGCTGAAGATACAGCTCAGTTGACAGAGTGCTTGCCTTGCATGCACAATGCCCCGGGCTCAATCCCCAGCACCACAAAAAACAAAAAAACAAACAAAACAAAACAAAACAAAAAAAAACAAAGTCCTGGGTCTAATCCCAATTACCATATAAAGAGCATACACCAGGTGGAGTTTATAGTGCCTAGGTAGCAAGACTCAGGTTTGTAGCCCACTGGGGAAGCTGGGCTAAAGGCATGAACTTAAAAAAGTTACCAGTCCTGTGAGGTAATGCATGCCTGTACTCCAGGTTACTTAGAGGGCGGAGGCAGGAGGATTCCAAGTTCAAGGTCAGCCTTGGAAACTTAGCAAGACCCTGTCTCAAAATAAGGACTGAGGATGTAGCTCAGTGGCTCAGTGGTACAGTGCCCCTGGGTTCAACCTCCAGTACTACAAAAAACAAAACAAGAATTATCAACAGAGCTATGTGCTAGAGCTACAGGCATAGAAGAGATCATTAATAGAACATCTATAGTGGAAAGGTAAGCAAGAACCAGATCAGATTGGGTCTTGTTTGTATGCTGCATTAAGAAATATGGTCTTCAAATGTATGAATTGCCAGATCATTGTAATGTCGTGTGTAGCTAATAAAAAATAAATAAAATTTAAAAAAAAAAGAAAGAAATATGGTCTTTAGGGCTGGGGTTATATCTCCAGCCCTATACCCACTTTAATAAACAGTGGTAGAGAGCTTGCCTGGCAGATGTGAGGCACTGGGATCAATCCTCAGCACCACATAAAAATAAATAAATAAATAAAGGTATTGTGACCATCAAAAACTGAAAATAACTAAAATTTAAAAGAATAGAAAAGAAATATGGAAGTGGAAAGAAAACCAAAGCAGGTGATATGACAAGACTTATACCAAGTATCATCAAAGTCTTTGCGCAGCTATTTTAATAATCCCTAGAGTATAAATGCTACAGACATAAAAATATTTAAGGTGTAATTATTTAAAATGCTAATGTAGCTTATTAAAATTTGATATAGCCACTATCTTATGCTCTAGCTGATTTTTTCAGTTTTCATAAACACTAGTCAGTTGCTGCTCAGTGCCTTCAAAGATTGCGTATGTAATTCTAACTTTGAGATCGTACAAAGAATAAGGTTTGTAACAGTTCTGATATGACTACTTTCCTCCATACATAATAAAGAAATTATTAGAATCAAGCAATTTTATTAGAGCATATATCAACCTATTACTGGAACTTGAAGACTGCCATTTTTCTTAAATAGTAGAAAGAGTAAGACTGTTCATTATTTTGGCCTACTCCTACCAAAACATGTATAATACATATTCTATGCTTTAAGGAAAAAAAAAAAGAACACTAGACTAAGTTCCTATAAAATATATCCATGTAATACTTTTTAGAGCTTACAATATGCTTCAGCAAAAACCTAGGATTATATTGAAATTCTACCCAGAATATAAAGCTGGTCCTAACTATTGGCTTCAGTTGCACATTGTGATGCAGACTGTGTGGAGATGGTGGGCAATACCATTCTAAATCGAAGTGAAATGAACCCATTAAGAAAAAAAAATATTTAGTTGTAAATGAACACACAGTATCTTAATTTATTTTTATGTGGTGCTGAGGATTGAACCCAGTGCCTCACACACCACTGAGCTTACTACACAAAGTACAATCTTAGCCCCCCATATTTTCTTTTCTTTTTTTTTTTTTTTTTTGGCACTGGGGATTGAACCCAGGGGCACTTACACATGGAACTACATGCCCAGACATTTTATTTTTTATTTTGAGACAGGGTCTTGCTAATTTGCTTAGGGCCTCACTAAGTTACTGAAGCTGGCTTTGAACTCCTGCCTCAGCCTCCCAAGTTTCTGGGATTACATGCCTATGTGCCACCACATCTGGCTTGAATCCATATTTTCAAATATGGGAAAACCCAGGTCATTAATGTACATATATAGAAAAAAATTCAATATCAAATCATCTTACTTCCCAAATCACAGGCAACCTGAGATATTATTTTTATCACATTTTATAATGGCCCATAGACCTATTAATTCTACCTCTAAAACTATATCCTACGGAAAAATAATGCCTACCCTAACTATACGATTGAGTCAAAGAGCAGCTTTTTTTTTTTTTTTTTTAAACCATATATACTTACCGTTTGTCTTTAGATTTCTCTAAAAAATATTTTGGAGTTGTACTAATACTTTCCCTTTCCAGTGGTTTCTTAATCATCTTTTTCTTTTGTTTGCTGAAAGTTACAATGTGGGAAAGGAAATAAATTAAGTGCAACTTCATTCAGAAAAACAGAAAAACAACAGCTAACATTCATTTTGATTCTTGATCACAAAATTCATTTTTWAACTACTTACAGGTTTAAGGTGGGCTACATCCACTTTAATAAACTAGCATTTACAGAGTATCTCAAAGGCATGATATATTCAACTCAACTTTTTAAAAAGGCACTGACTGATTAAAATAGGCGACTTTATACCCTTTATCAACAAGCATTAGAATCTGATTTTGGTCAGTTAACTGTTTTATATGATTTTATGAACTAAAATAATTCTAAGTATATTTCACTCACATTGAATAATTTTTTAAAAGTCTGAATAGTTAAAATTTCAAGGATGAGAAAACTGGCAAGGAAAGAAAACAGCATTTACAAGTATTCAGAAGCAATGTTTTTATCTTAAATGCCCTGAAAGTAGCAGTACTATTAGAACTATAATGTCGAGATGGTACAAATCAATACTGTAGGAAAATAGTCTTGAAGACATGTGTACACCCATGTTCACAGCAGCTAAAATGTAGAAACAACCAAAGTATGCATCAACAGATGAATGGATAAATAAAATGTGGTACATGCATACAGTGGAATACTATTCAGCCTTTAAAAGGAAGGAAATTTTGATTATATTGTATAGGGGAACTTTGAGGAAATTAAAATTATGGTAGATGAAATAAGCCTATCACAAAAAGATAAATACTGTATGATTCTATTTAGAGTAGACAAAATCAGAGACACATAATAGAATGGTAGACGCTGGGGCCTAAGGATGGGAAAATGGGGAGTTACTATGTAATGGATATAGAATTGCAGTTTTTTAAGAGGAAAAGAATTGTGGAGATGGATGGTGGCAATGCCTACATAACATAATGAATGTATTTAACATCGGAGAACTGTACACTAAATGGTTAAGATGGTAAATTTTAATGTGTATGTATGAGTATGCAACAATGAATCCCACTAATATGTATAATTATAATGCTCCAATAAAAAATTTTTAAAGATGATAAATTTGGGGGCTGGGTAGTAGCTCAGTGGTAGAGAAAGAACCTGCCTAGCATGTATGAGGCACTGAGTTTGATTCTCAGCACTACATAAAAAAATAAATTAAATAAAGTAAAGGTATTTTGTCCATTTACAACTTGAAAAAAAAGGTGATAAGATTTTATTATGTAGTTTACCCCATACTCAAAAAATAATAATAAAATAAGGGCTGGAAGTGTAGCTTAGGGGTAAGAGTGCTTGCCAAAAATTAATGAGGCCTTGGTTTTGATCCCAGGTACCACAAAATACACTAATTAATTAATTAAAAATTAATTTTTAAAAAACCCCACACAATAAAAAAACTGAATGTTGAGCAAGAAACAAAGTAAAAGGACATATCTAGTTTTGACACCATTTACAGGAGATCCCTGACAAGAATGGGTTGACTTGCAATTTTTAAAGCTTTATGATAATGCTAAAATGACACACATTCAGTAGAATCTATATTTTGAATTTTAACTATTCCTGACTAGCACTATGCAGTACAATATTCTCTTGCAATGCTGGTGGCAGCAGAAAACCAAAGCTCCCAGGAAACCACTCAATCATGAGGTAAACAACTGATACTCCACAGAGTTGCTAAGCTATGATGTTCAGTAGGGGAGTAGATTAAATGCATTTTTGACTTACAATCTTTTCAACTTATAGTGGGTTTATCAGGATGTAACCCCACTGTAAGTCAAGGAGCATCTATGTATAAGATCAAAACCACTTAAAACTAAACAATATACTGTTTGAAGATATATACTTATATTATGAAATAAATAAAAGGCAAGAAAACAAAAAAAAMAAAAAACAAAAAGTAACAGTGTATATGCAAACAGAAAGAGAAGGTAAATTCAAGATTATACCTTAGTAGTTTCTGGAAACCTTTTATGTACTCTGGTACTGGACATCCAGCCTGCTGTATAACATTGGCAACACTGAAAAGGAACCCCATAAACATAAATCTGTATCTTGTCAAAGTACAACATAAAAGGAACTATAACTACATAAAGTACTCCAGTAGAGTGTTCTAATATACAACAATGTGGATTACTAAGAAAACCATCTACTGGTCTGAAATCATGTACTGATGAAGAACTTTAGATAGCAACCATTTTAACATTAATCAAGCCCTAAAAAGCTACTAGGCCAAATCATGGAGGAAACACTGAATGAAACCAGTATCATGCTTACATTTATTAAGTGGTAGTGTTTACTATGGAGTTGCATTAAACTTTTCACATATAGTAACTTATTCACTCCTCACAAAAACCCTAAATACTATTGTTATCCCTATTTCGTAGATAGAAAACTGAGGTGCATAGTTACACTATGTTGGGGTTGCTAAGGAGACCTCAGGTGGATCCAAAGCTGTTGGAATACACCTCCTACATAAGCATATGTGAAAGGCGCTCAAAGCAATACTACTTCCAAGTTCTAATACTAGAAGGAAAGATAAGGCTGTTCATTTTTCCTTTTTCCATGGCTAAAATTTAGCTGCTTAACACCACCAGCAGAATTTGGGACATAGCTATTTTGTAGTTATCTGTTAAAAAAAATACATACAAAAATAATGAGACAATTTTGCCAATTGGATTCTCAGGTACTTTTCCTAATTTACCTTCTTAATAATGGTTTATCATCTTCAGTGAAAAATGTAATGGCTTTCCCCTTATGCCCTGCTCTTCCAGTTCGACCTAAGAGAAATCAGACCATAAAAAATTTTTTTGGAAGTTTCAAAGGGACTCTCGAGGTTCACATAAAAAGTGATGGGTTTTCATAGCATTAAAAAGTGAGTATTTCTAAAGGATAGATGAGTGGGCACAACAGAGGAAGAAAAAATAAAGAGAACTTACCTATCCTGTGGATATATTCTACTGAGCTGGTTGGAAAGTCATAATTGATCACCAAATTCACACCTTTAAAATCAATCCCTCTTGCAAGCAAGGCTGTACAAATAAGAACCCAGATTTTTCCTGCTCTAAAGCTGTGGACTGTATTATCTCTCTGTTTAAGAAAATAAATATTAAATGCTGTAGTACCAAGCTAGAAATGAAAAATGGGCACTTCATAAATTTAATGCCAGTATTTCTTTAGGGTTTTGAAAGTACACAATTACCTGTTGTTGTGTTCTTTCTGCATGAATAACATCCACATTAATACCCTCATATATGAGCTCATGAAAAAGTTCTTTAGCCCTTTCAATGGACTGAACAAAAACAAGAACAGGTGGACTGAAACCCTTTTAAAACAACAAAAGCAAAAGTTAGTACACATAACTCATAAGCAATAATACAACCAGACATATATCATAATATGATTTTAGTTCACAAAAGAACCAAATTCAATTTATTGTACTTTCACTGCCAAATGCCTCAGGCCGGTGGTTTAAATCTGCCTTCATCTTCCTCACCATCCATTCTCTACAATGAGCTCTTTCCACTTAATTTGAACTATATTATTTATCATGCTAATTCAAATAAACTTATCAATTACTTTTTAGTCACAATACTGGATGTCCATTCTGAAACAATCATTTCTTGGTTTATATGCCTCAGAATTTCGATTCTGCTTGTTATGTAAAAACTTGTTTCTTTAATTGTTATCTTAGTCTTTGGTTCTAAGTTCTAAAATAATTTCTATCTTATTATATAAAATAAAATCTCAGTATCAATCTCTAAGCAGATTATTTTTATATTTATATCATTGAACCCTGCCTCTTTCAAACCAAGTTTCTGTATCTTCAAATGCCCATATTAGTTCTTCTTAGCCTTTTTATTTTGGTTTACACTCCTTTTGGCATCTAATGAAAGTGATGAGGCTTTCTAACTGGCAACCACTTATTCACACAATCTGACATACAATTCACAGACTTCCCAAAGTTCATACATTGCTAAAAAAATAAAAGAAAACAAAACAAAACAAAAACAAGAATCTCTGCTGTATTATGTCCATATGATTATCTTTGAAAACCTTAAAATTTCCTTGTGGCAAGTGATACCTTTAAGAATGTTGATAAAATGAACATATAGAATTTATTATGTGCCAAGCACCATTTTAAGTACTATATTTATATTAACTCAAATACTATTAATAGTTCTATAAGGTAGACGAAGAAACTGGAACAGAGGGGAGTTAAACTGCATCAAAGTACAATGTTGGAGCTATAATCTTAATCCAGGTGGTCTGGCTCCAGAGTTCATGCTCTTAACCTCTAAAGCATACCACTTATATCATTGACAATTACTTACAAATACCTTATTAGCTGCCACACTTGTTTATTTTCTCCTTATCTCTGCTCAGTCTAATTTAACAGTCTAGTAATTATTTTCCTCACTTTCAGCCTTTTTCTTTACACCCCATCTTATATACTATTGTTTGACTAATTTTCCTTAAAAATTATGTGGCCACATTCTTCAGAAATGTCCAGGGGTCTCTCAATCTGACCCTAACTTCACTGTCCAAACTAATCCTTAAATTCCCACCATACACCCTGCCTTAGACATGTAACCTCTTCATTAGTCTCCAAACATATAGTATGCACCGTCACCTCTTCAAGTTTTATTCAGGCTGCTCTCTGAGCTGGGAACACTTTCCCCCTCCATTTGTCCTATAGACCCTCTTTCAGGGCTCTGATTAGCAGGATACCTTCTCCAACCAAATGGGCTTACCCCAATAGTCCATTATGACTCTTTGGATGCTTTTGCCTTTTATGGCATTTTATCACAAACTATATTATATAAGTATACTTAACTTTATCCCTTAATTAAGACAAAATTTCAGGGTGCAGAATTTATATTTCTTTTTGCTTAGTATATATGACCCACAGTACTTAACTTTTTAAACTGTGGCTTCTGCTCCGCACTTACCAAAGGTACAACAAAAGAAACCTCCACTCAGTGTCTAACTCATTCTACAATACCCCAGTTCTTCTGTAACAAACCAGAGGATGTGGGGATGAATGGGACATATATACAGAGGGGAAAAATATGCTTTTAATAGCATCAGGTGGGTCTTCTCCTAGCCAACGCTGAGGCAGGAGAGACAGACTCACCACCACTGGACCACTAAGTAAGAGGCAGTATGATGATGAGGTATTGCGGAGCCTCCCACCAGGTAAGACTTGGTAAACCTTACCAAAACCCACATACCTTTTTAACAAGTTCTCTCATGGCCAAAAGTTTTCCAGTCTCAGACCCAACAAAGAGAAGTTCTTGTTCTACTGTCTCTACTGCAGAATTCCTGAGGAGAAAATATATCTAGTAGTTCATGAGAGCCACTTTTTGCTTTCCCCGCTGAACTCTAAAATAATAATCAACAATTTTACACAGAACTCCATAAAATCAACTTTTCTACTGTCAACATAAGTAAATATTTATACTTTAATTTGAAAGTAGAATTGTTATTTTAAAATGTTTTGTTCTAATTATAAAAATGTTATCTTTTGAGAAAATTTTTTAGGAAATATTCAAGTTATATAAGCCAGGCACAGTGGTACATGTCTATAATCCCAGCTACCCTAGAGGTTGAGGTTGGAGGATCACAAGTTTGAGCCCAGCCTGGGCAACATGGCATATCTCCATCTCAAAAGAAAACAAAACATACAACAACCACAAAATAACAATATATATTATAAAAAAATAAATAAATTACCTACAATTCTACCATTTTAGAATGAATTTTTATGTTTTATTGTATTCTAGTCACAATTTTCATGTGATTATTTGTTAAAAATTCTAAACATAAAATTACTGGGTAAAATAATGAGAACATTTTTAAGGTTGTTATTCTGTATGGCTAAACTTTCTTCTTAATGATTAGAGGTAGGTTATATATACAATGACGATTAGAGGGAGAGGTATTAAAGCTTTATTTTTTCCCATTCTGTTGTCTGCCTTTATATTATACTTATGGTAAACTGGCTCTGCTTTCTTTTTATGAATTTTGAGTTTAAAGCAGACAGTATATTCTTTTTTTTTTTAATTTTTAAATATTTATTTATTTTACTTTTTGGCGGACACGACATGTTTGTTTGTATGTGGTGCTGAGGATCGAACCCGGGCCACACGCATGCCAGGTGAGCGCGTTACTGCTTGAGCCACATCCCCAGCCCGACAGTATATTCTTTATTGTCCCATTTTGCTTCTTTTTTTGGCGGGGTCAGGGGGATGGAGTCTCACTATGTTGCCCAGGTTGGCCTTGAACTCCTAAGCTCAAGTGATCTTCCTAACTCAACCTCCCAAGTAGTTAGAACTACAGGTGCATACCACTACATCCAGTTTTCTCTTCCATTTGATATGATGTCACAAGAAATTTTTTAATATAGCTACAGTCTTTATACTTATTGTTTCATTGTTGTATAATATTCTGTTTGGTCACAGTATAATTTCCCTGTACTGCTTTCTACCACGATACATTTATTTAAAATAAAATGCTCTCCTAAATTAACTTCTGCCTCCCTTCTTCCTTCCTTTTTTCTTTTTTGGTGCTATGGAWTAAAGCCAGGGCTTCACACATGATAGGCTCTACCACTGAGCTATAATGCCAGACCCTACCAAATTATTTTTAAAAAGGAATTATAAATCGATCAATTATGACTTAACAACAACAAAAATTTAAGTAAAACTCTCTTATATAAGACTCTCATGCCAAACAAGCTATCTCCTTGAGTCTAAGAATCACGTGTATTTGAAAATAAATCAGTGGGATAATGTGCAACAACAATTAGTTACCTTGCTCCAATGGATATAGTAATAATATTGTCCAAGTTGAGTCTGCACCACTGTTCAACATCATATGCAAAGGTTGCACTGAACATAGCTCTTCTGACCTTGTGGGATGTGCAGGCCAGGAAAATGAAAGCCAGTTGGTCTCTAAACCCAGTTTTGCCATCTTCAAACAGTTTGTCTGATTCATCTACTACCAGCCACTCAACACTAAGAAATAACAGAACAATTTGTAAACATTAAACTATAAGATCCAAGACACTTCATTAAACTGTGGGGACACATGAGGAAGTCAAACCATGATTCTGCTTTTCAGATCCACTTTATCATGTTAGAAAAAGGTATCATACCAGAAAAAGATATATAAGAAAAATAAGCATGAAAAATCAACATTGATTTAAGTTAGCAGATAAGCTCCAAAGGGAAGTAATACAAGTAATTGAGAATAAAATATAACCAACTAATGAAAAACACACATGAAGGACATTAAAATATTATCTGTACCTTGTTAGGTCTATTCCTGGTGGATCTTGCTTCAATAAATAGATTAGTCGATTTGGAGTAGTCACAAGAATATCTACAGGAAACAAATAGTAAAAATTGCAAAAAATAAGTCACATCACTTTTGTGTGTGGGGGGGGGGGCAGGGGATGGGGTGTAGTACTGGGGCCTGAACCCAGGGGTGCTTTTCATTTTGAGTCAGGGTCTTGCTAAGTTGTTGAGGCTAGCCTAGGACTCAGGAGCTTCTGGCCTTAGCTTCTTGAATCATTGGGATCACAGGCCTGCACCAACACTGGCTAGGTATATCCCTCTTTAAAGAAATTAAGCCTTCTGAATCTCAAGTCAATAATGTTTCATTGGAAGGGGACAGAAAAGTTACTGACATAAAAGTTTTTCCTTATTAGAAAGCCAATAAACATTTTTTTTCCATGATAGCATAAACTACTGTATCTCTTTTATTTATTTGGACAGTCTTCTCAACTTCTAAGAGGCAAGAATAATATACAATCCAACAATTTGATTTTCAAACCCCTCCCGCCACACAGAAAGATCCTTTTTTTTATATTTATTTTTTTAGTTGAAGTTGGACACAATACCTTTATTTTATTCATTTATTTTTATGTGGTGCTGAGGATCGAACCCAGGGTTTCGCACATGCGAGGAGCGCGCTCTACTGCTAAGCCACAACCCCAGCCCTGTAAAATTCTTTCTTTAAATGAAATTTTATTCAGAACTTAAAGATGAAAGACAAAAATCTGATTATCTGGCTGCTGTAAGGACAAGGAGTTAATCCATTCTTACCTGCAAGAGTATTTTCATGACAGATTAAAAATCAGTACTATAAAGCAGGATATAAAGCAGCCTCAGCACTGTTAACATTTTAGGTCCGATAACTCTTTTTTTTTTTAATTTTTTTAATATTTATTTTTCTTTAGTTTTTGGCGGACACAAAATCTTTATTTGTATGTGGTGCTGAGGATCGAACCTAGCGCTGCGCGCATGACAGGCCAGAACGCTACCGCTTGAGCCACATCCCCAGCCCTCAGATAACTCTTTTGTAGAGGGCTATATCTTGGGTATTATAAAATATTTAACAATATCCCTGGCCTCTACCCACTATTAGCTATTGGATTCCCTTCCAGTTGCAACAATTAAAAATGTCTACAGATATTCACAAATGTCCCCAAGGTAAACGGAGATAGGCAAAATCATCTCACCATTGGTATGTATTTATATTGCCATTGAGTGGAATAGGGAGGACATCTCTTTAGTTTCTTTAAAAATAACACTAATTACATACATGGATTTAACAACTCTTATGTGGTAATTAGGATATTTACAACTTCCAAATCCCTTGCTTGCTCTATATCCCAAGCATGAATTTCTTACCAAACTTCTTAGATGATTTAGGTCCAAATTTCTTGGCTGCTACTGCTGCTTTGTGGATCATGTGTATCCTGAATCCTGTTCCCTCAGAGATTTTAATTAACTCTCGATGAATCTAAAACATAAAATGATAAAGAGATGAGGTGCTACTTGGACAGGGTGGATATGCTTTACATTATTAATAAATTTATCAACTCATGAATACCTCAAATTAAACCTATAATAATGTGCTGATTAACCTAGCATATCAGCATTTTAGAACTTCAAGACCAAAGAGGATTTAGTGTTTTTTTCCAAGACCTAATAAACTAGTTTCAAGAGATAAAACTAATATTCCTTCAATCTGTGAACATATTGTTCTTTTTAGAATACAGAGTATTATAAGACTATTTCATACTTTGTATGTGTCTTATATTAAGCAAATTGATAGGGTGGAACAGCTCATAGTTTTACTTTCTCAAAAACTAACAAAGTTTCATTTTTTCTAAGTAGAAAAATAAAATTTTAGAAATATAACACAGGAGCTTTTCAATTTCAAGCATCTTAAAACATTTACTTCTTCAAAGTATAAATGATAAAATCATCATGTTTTAGAAAATTATAAGAAGTCTTAAAAGACTGGTCCATATGCAGTAATATACAGAATATTTGACTATGACAAAAGACATGGGTCTTATTATTTTTTTTAATGGGCCTTATTCTTTTGAGATCCTTTTAATTAACCTTGCTAAAATCAATGAAACAAACACAAATGCATTCACTCAAAAGCTGTAAGTCATACCTGGCTGGCAAGTTCTCGTGTTGGGGATATAATTAGGGCTCTGAAGCCTTTATTTGCAGGTTGTTTCAGCTGCATTAAAATGGGAATGCTAAAAGCTAAAGTCTTCCCAGATCCTGTTGGAGCAGAAGCCAGAAGTTCCCGACCCTGAAAATGTAAAATAAGTACAAAGTACATAAAAATTCCAGAGCCTGATCAAATTATTCTATCAGTCATAAAAACAACAAAATTAAATTAAATTATCCAGTTGTTCAAGTCCTATTCACTTTCCTATCTTTTCCCATATTTGCTTTTCTATCACTCTCCATTCTTGTTATCACCACCCCAATAGTCTCTGAGCATTGGTGTTTAAGTCCATTTGAGTGAGTGGACAATGTGAACAACTAAAATCCAAAGAGAATTACATCCACTATTTCCAATTTTTCTTCCCCACTGGACTTTTTCATAAAAGCAAAATCACAGAATCAACTTACTATCCTGACATCTGTACTGCTCAATCCTTAAGGAGGATTCTGTTAAATAATTAGGTTAGAAATCAAAAGTGGCAATGACCTGTCAGAGGAACTTATAAGTAACAATGCATTGTTGAAATTCACTAAACTGTGCACTTAAAATCTATGCATTTTATTATACATGTATTTAAGTAATCAAAAGTATGGAAAAAGAAACTAAATTGGGTTATGTACAAGAATTTTAGAAGGCATTTGTTTCTGAAATAGCTTCTGGATATTAAAAACCCAATTAACAATGTAAAGATAAACATACTCCCTATCCTCAGAAGATTCAAATGTTGCAAGAAAAAGAACAAGCAATCTCTCTACTTCCTGGCTGCCACAAGCTAAGTAGCTTTCCTCAGCCATGCCCCTTCAGCCATGATGCTCCACCCCACCTTGCACCCAGAGCATTGGAGTCAGCTAACCATGGACTGAACCTCTGAAACCTGCTTAAGTTGTTTTTCAGGAAAAGCTTCCAAAATCCACTCAAGGATGATATGAAACCAGCTTTTCAAGAATGGATGTGCATAGGAGAAGGCAGATCACCCAGCACTTTGATGTTTTAAGCTCAAAATCCCCCATCAGATGATGATACCCTCTGCCAAACAAATGTGAACTGTGAAGAAGCATGATGATTATCTATACTGGTGCAAAAGAACCCTAAAAATTTCCCTTCTTACCATCCCATTAACAATCAGTGTCTCCCTTCTCCCTTCCTTTTAAATTCCTCCAACACTAGCTAATCAGGGAGGCAGATCTGAGCTTCTGGTCTCTTAGCCCAGTGACACACACTGATCTTTTTCTTTTTGAAARCACACACACACATACAGAAGAAAAAGAACACACTAAAACCATGGAGAATTGAGGTTGGGCTGAAGAGGCAAAGGGTATTGATAAAGGAAAACAATCACATCTAACTATAGTGATCAGGACAAGTTTTACGGAGGCACAGGCATTTGAGATGGACCTTAAAATCAAGTGAAGGATTTTAACAGGGCAGATAAGGCAGAAAGGATTTCAAGGAGAGAGGGAAGAGAATGAGCAAACACACAGAGAAAGGAACGTTACAGGCATCTTAGACCTTCATACTCACATGCAGCATAACTGGAATAGCTTGCATTTGAATTGGTGTAGGTGTTTGGAAGCCTGCATCTAGAATGTTCTGAAGCAATCGAGAATTTATTTTATATTCCTGCTCCAGCTGCTGAAATGTAGTAATTGGATCAGGAAGATCGGTTCCTTGGATATGAATCTTGTGTTTATTCCGGAAGAAGTTTATCTGAAAAGTAAAGCAAAGGGGCCACCATTGATATTGTAAAATAAATACATTCTCAGATATTGTAAAACAACAGTAACTGTTTCTGGGATAAGCTTCCGCAGCACATGAAACTTTCTGATTAAATCCAAGTCCCAAAGCAACATAGATGGTAAGTATATTTCATAGACAGAAGATCTTCCTAATAAAAGTACCTATGCTTTCTTCTTATTAATGTGTTACTGCCATAGTCATACTTATACTCTTACATAACTTCTACAAGGTAAGCACTGAATCCATCTATTTTCTTTATAGTATACAAATGCCAATGTTTTTGAATAAAATGCTTTTTACAACTCTATTTATTAAAACTGAATGCCAAAATGGAGTTTAGAGGTATTTATTTGGTATGTGTCCTCATTCTCTGTCTCAAAGACAGCCAAATTCTAGCTTCTGTAGTGAAGCAGGCTGCAGTGATCCCTATAGTTAGCTAGCTATACACACATCTCTATCAGCAACATGGCAAGTGTATAGCAGATGCAACAATGATATATTTGATGTTTCTTCTATATCCCACTTCCCTTATTCTGTCCCTACAGAACAAGTTTCTCAAGAATTCTAACCTCCTAATCCCTGTCTGAGGAAATCTTTCTCAATCAGTGAACTCAATATAGAAAGAGAGCCAAATTTTGTTTATCAAACAGGGTTAAGAAATTTAAGAAATTTAATTCTAAAAATACTAGTAATCTTAAAATTTGAGCAGGTCAAGAATTGCTAAACACACATATCTATACCTATTTAAATAGAAAATCTTCAATTATAACTTTAAGCTTTTAAGTTTTTCCACAATAGTACAAATATCTATTTGCTTTAATTTATCATTAAAGTAAAACCTAAACCTAAGAAAATATAATTATTCTTCGATCTTAACATTCACTTTTACCAAAAGAAATAACCCAAGTTTAGTGAAAAAGTTCCTGCCTCAGAAAAACATAAACTTTAAGGGCTAAGACATTTTTCTAACCTTTTCCTTTCTGAGATGTTCCAACTTTCCCGAAGTTAGTTTATTCTCTCCTTTAACTTTTTTATCTTCAATCTTTGCTTCCACAGATGATACCCACTGTATACTATTATCTTCTTCTTGAGAAATAATTTCTAAAACACATTTTTAAAATTAAAAGATTTTAAGTACAACGGTCTTAGAGGGAGCAAACAGGCCATACTTTCACCTGAACAAGAAAAAATAACAGCTGTGCAACTAGATAAGAGAAAGTAATAGGCAAGTTGTGTTGATAATCAGAGCTCTGAAGCTCACTCTCTTTTCTTTGTTGGTTGCTTCGGCTACTTATTATGTAAGTGAGATGACTGCATACTTGAAAAGAGGGAATTCATTGAAAAAAACTACATGATCAGTAAGGCAACCAGCTTCTTTATATCCAACAACCAGCTAGAAAGAGGATAAAAGAAAGATTTTCACTTACAATAACAATGAACACAACAAAATACTTAGGACTACTCAATATTGTAAAGAGAGCAATTCTCCATGTATCTATAAATAACACAGGTTTAATTAAAAAGTAGATAGGATTGTTTTGGTGACTGGACTAGATGACTTCCATTAACATGGGGGAACAAATAACGTAATAGTAACGTAAGAGAAATCTCAAAAACTTTAGGAATAATGAGCAACATATCCCACTGGAATTTTATTTTAAAAATATTTTTTAGTTGTAAATGAATACAACATCTCTTTTATTTATTTATTCTTATGCAGTGCTGAGGGTGGAACCCAGTGCCTCATGCATGCTAGGCGAGTGTTCTACCACTGAAACACAGCCCCAGCCCTCCACTGGAATATTTGTTTTTCCACTCCACTGAACTTAAGTGACATACAATAAACTGCATATATTTTAAAGTGTATTTTGGGACTGGGAATGTAGCTCAGTGACAGAGTGCTTGCCTAGCATGTATGAGGCCCTGGATTCAATCCCCAGCACCAGACACATATAAGCATATAATTTGATGGGTTTTGACATAAATTAATTAAGCACTCAGCACATTCATGGTTACTTTCATCAGCCCCAAAATTTCCTCATGGCCTCCTGTAATCCACTGCTCCATCCCTAGACAACTTCCAATTTAATGCCTGTCATTACAGATTAGTTTGCCATTTTTAGAATTTTATATAGTTGGAATCATATAGTATGTACTAATTTTAGTCTAGCTTATTTTATTTGGGATGGTTATTTTGAGATTCATCTATGTTAAAGAAGGTATCACTAACTTAACATGTTATTACTAGGTAGTATTCCATTACACGGACATACAATTTGTTTATTCTTCCTCTGCTAAAGGACATATGGATCATTTCCAGTTTGGGACTATTACAAATGAAGCTACTATGAACATTTGTATACAAGTCTTCCTGAGGACACTTTTTTCCTCTCTCTTGGGTAAATATCTATGAATGGAATAGCTGGGTCATATGATAGGTACACGTTTAACTTAAAAAAAAATCCCTGTTTTACAAAGTAATTGTACAGTTTTATTAGCAATAGTGTGAGAGTTTATTTCTGTACATTCCTGCCTACATTTGGTATAGTCTTTTATTTCAGCCATTCTAAAGGATATGCATTAGTATTGCATTTCATTTAAATTTGCCTGATAACTAATGATTTTGGATATTTGTCTTTTATATACTTATTGCTATGGGGATATAATCTTTGATTAGTGAATACAAGTTTTTTGTTTGATATACATGTTGCAAACATTTTACTCCCTATGGCTTGACTTTTCATTTTCTTAATGCCCTCTACTGATGAGCAAAAATGTTTAATGTCCAATGTACTGATTTTTGCTTTATGGTTTGTGCTTTGGGTGTTCTAAGAAACCTCCACATACCTCAAGGTAACAAAGATAGTTTTCCTGTTTTCTTCTAGAATCTATCTTCTATAGATTTTGCATTTCAATCTGAGTTGTTTCAAGTTAACTTTTGCATATAGTCTGAAATAAGGGATGACATCGACTTTTCTCCATACCAATCCTACAAAATTTGTCAAAAAGACTTTCCTTTCCCAATTGAATTGCCTTAGCACCTTTGTTGAAATCTAACTGAATATATATATGTATATATACACTCTCTACTCTGTTTGATCTATTTATTTCTTTGGTAATATCAACTACCTTGATTTGTAGTTAGTTAATTTTATATTAAGTCCTGAAATGAGATAGGGTTAAGTCTTCCAAATTTATCTTTTTAAAAACTACATTGGTTATATGAAGTCTTTTGAAAATTTCTACAAAAAAGTGCTGCAATTTTAATTGAGACTATACTAATTCTATAGATCACTTCAGGGAGAAAATAGTTTCCCAGTCAAAAACATGATATGCCTTGCTGCTCTACTGGATTTTTATTTTCTTTTTCAAATATATTATAAGGTCACAGTGATAAAATCGAGCAGATATTGGTGTACAAACACAGAAATACCAATGGAAGAGGAACAAAGCCTAGAATAGACCTGAATATTAATTAAAGTTGAATACAACAAAAGATGTATTAAAATACAATAGGGATGGTACAGAATAGAGGACACAGTAACCAATCCACAAAACTACAACTATCTTATTTTTGATAAAGGGGCTAAAAGCATGCAATGGAGGAAGGATAGCATCTTCAACAAATGGTGCTGGGAAAACTGGAAATCCATTTGCACCAAAATG